CACGCATATTCAATCACATTCTGATTTATTTTTATGGTTATGTTTCATATACCTTTTTTTATGTCCTATTAAAATTTAGGAAAGTATGTATGAGGTATGAATTAAACCCTTGAAGGAATTTTACTAGGATACTGGTTAAGGAGGAATTTGTAGGTTTGGTAGAATAATTCTAAGCCCTAAGCAGTGAAATGGCATCAGTGGTCTAAAAGGTAGAGCTTTGGCCTTCCGTTTCAAAGGTCCTGGGTTCAATCCCAGGCCATGTCTAATTTTTGAAGCTGTTTTTCCATTTCACCGTTCAGGTTACGAAGCTCAGTTCGGAGCCTACGCAAATTATGTCAACTCCATGGAAGATAATCAAAAAACGAAAACTAGCGGAATATTGAACCTAATACATGTTCTGCTCCTTAATGAGAATCAAACATTTTAACAATAGCCCCCAAACCCTCTTTCTCAAGAAGTTCTAGCTTCATCGCTGTTTTCTGGTAATGCCACCAAGTGCCTTTAATAGAATTTAGATGGACCAACAACCAAGCCATCTCAGCCTTTCAGAAATTCAAATCTCTTAATTTTCATAATCTACAAAAAAGGGGCGAAAATCCCAACAAAATATTCACAAGGCACACGTGAAAAGATGTAAAAGAAGAGTAAAAATATATTTTATGTGACTTCCATCACATTGTTTAGCATCTTATTTTCCTTGATGTATATATTTGCGTGCCTCTCCATATCTTCTCTTCAGGACACATATAAAAATACCCAACTTACATGCTTAAACTCTTTTCGCAAAAACAAGAAGCACCATGAGGACGAAGAAAAGAGATTTAAAACAAAGATGACTTTTTACTCTTGTTGATCTACCTTTATAATGGCTCTATTCTATAATATTAAAGAAAATTTATTCCATCCTGTCCTTTTTAAAATACAAAAAAAAAGTAAGGGAAGCAAAACGTGATGTCATCTCTTATATGTTAGCAACTCTATTATTTTATGTTTTACAAAACATTTCTTCATACTTTCCATAATTTTAATATGCTCTACATCATATTTCATAACGAGTTTTCGATTTGAATGTGCTTTAAATATCACTTCTTATTCCAAAAAACAAAAATGAATGAGTTAAAGTTAAGGATATATTTGGAACATGAATTAAGACGGAAAAGATAAATTCTCATTTTCTTGATAACATTTTTGCATCAACCACACAAAAAGATTAAGTATTGAGATGGTAGACCATACCAAAAATAGAATGTGGTTGAATGGCTGTTGAAACAAAGTTTTTCTCATTCAGAAGTCAATCCTTGATTGCTTGATCTTGTGGTTATTTTTTTTTCTATGCAAAGGGGTTTATCTATTACAACGGATGGCATTGGATGTAACCTTGAAAAGCACTTGTCTTTCAGAAATTGTATGAAAATTCACAGCTTTTCACATAAATAATTCAAGATGTGTTAAAACTTTATTTAAGTTTTGAATAACCTTTCATTTTAGATTATGAAGCTATCATGAATAAGGTTATATTAATTATGGATGAAGATATTCGCTATTGTCGTAAAATGGTGGATTTTGATATGTGCTACTTTATATCTATGGACTAATTTATTTATACCTGTGGTTTTGGAACTTAATCTAGAATATTAAGCTATATGAAGGTTTTGAGATACAGATCGGGAATCTGTAACCTTTTTTTTAAACACAGGTAGCATCATATAATCCGATCATCTAGATTAGGAACAAGGGTTGAATGTGGAATTGATCAAAATGATCCAAATGATCAAATTCTCCCGAGGAGCACCAACAACAACAACACATTTTAAAACTTCTTTATGACTCCTTCACATCGCGGCACCATCGAGCCTTCTTCCTATGATTTTGTTGTTGCTTCTGCTTGCATTTTATATATTCACACCAGTGTTGCAAATGTAGATGTCTACACTAGATGAAGAATGTAGATTCTTCAATAGTTTTTGTCTAGCTAAGAAACTTTCTTCATAAAGATTGATTCTACATGTAGAAAGAAAAAAACCATCTACATGTAGATTGTGTCTACATGTAGAATCTGTCTACATGTAGATTCGATGTAGATGTCTATAATTCTACATTTTTTTCCAGGTCTACATCAGAGAAGAATGTAGAATCGTAGACATCTACATTAAATCTACATGTAGACAGATTCTACATGTAGACACAATCTACATGTAGATGGTTTTTTTCTTTCTACATGTAGAATCGATTTTATGAAGAAATTTCTGTCTCAGAATTTATCTGATCCAGACAAATAGCCAGAATGCAACACTGATTCACACATCGAACTTTAAGTCCTACAAGCCAATTTTATCATTTCTTTCCCTCCTATATCTCCTAAAAAATAAGGTGTTGAAGCGTCTTCATAAAATTAAATATCACATTAAATACACTTTGAAATAACTTGAACAGACAGAAGTGAAAAAAAGCTTCCTTAATCATTTCTCTACAGCGTCATAAGTGGAAGCAATGATGGTAATAAATAAGATAAAAGCAAACATAAGAAGAAAAATTAAATTATGGAAATGATTTAAAAGGAGCGAACAAGAAAGTTCATTAATAGGATGAAGAGAAAGTTTTTTTCCGCTGTATCGGCTTTCCTTGCTCGCATAAAAAATGTGCACGTCAAGCTTTATTTGAGCTTCATTTTACCATCAGCATTATTGTTGCTTTCAATGTTTGCTTCTTTTGTTATTATTAATAATGGAGCATTGAATGTATGTTAATGAAATCAAAATATTAAGGAGAATCTCATTATATGATTTTCGTACCTTTATATTTTATGCAGATTCTCTTTTCGTCTAGCTCAATTTATTTTTAAAAGATGAGATGTGAGATAATATTTGATTCATACCTTATTAACCTTTACAATTTATCAAGAAGACCTTCAGTATCAAGTTTTAATATTTAGGGAATTCCCTTAAAACCAGTTCAAATGTTGTAGACAAAAAGAATAAACAGTTTCTCAGAATAAAGTTAAAGTTAAATTTCCCACTTCTTACAATTCTCCTAAGATCACATTTCAGTAAAATCTAGGGGTTATTCATTCAAAAGTCACTTATAAGGTCTTCAAAAAGTCAATTGAAAATATCATTTTTAACCCCCAATCATTTAATTACAAATTTATTTAAACAAAATTTAAGGTTATATAAGGGCCGTTTACTTATGACTTTCAGGGGGGGGGGGGGGGGTCAGCAAGAAAAGAACAATGGGAATTCCTGGAAATCCATTGTTCTTTTTCGAAAAATGACCGTTAATTTTGGACGTCATAAGTGAAAAACTCCTTATATGTGAAACAACTCATTCCTCCAAAATAATAGATGACGTAAAGAAGAAGAGAAGATTAATATGCTTGATTTAAGGTTTTCACGTGAGCAATTTTAACAAAAGCATGTGTAGGCATCACACCTTATTTAATAATCGGGAATTTTTTTAAGGTATGCTATTTTGTGTCACATGATCAAAAGCTGATTCACATGTAAAGAATTTAATATCGTAAAAATTTATATTCGTTACAGCCATTTCAATGGAATATTAAATTTTTTATTTAAATTCTAAAAATTTCATAAGCACAAATTCTGAAAATGTTTTCATTTTCATCAATGCATTTACGTCAACAATTTTTTTTATACATTAAATCGAGATTATTCAGTAAAATTTTTTCATGCTCATTAATTCAATTTGATTAAGATATTGAACGATGCTTTATTATTGAAGCTGGTTTATGTATGTGCTCTCGTTATACGAACAGCTCACGTATGCTGTATAGAATGAATGAATGAATATCATTTTTAAGGAAATAATACGAGGAAATATAACAACATTTTTGATCAATGCAATGATATAAAGTATACAGCTTGAGGGAGATGATATTTTTAGGAGGCAAGAATCTTAAATCTGGTCTTAAAGGTTAGGCTGTATAGAGTTTTAAAAGTTTGATGGGCGAGAGGGTTCTGAAACTTTGTGATAGTTCAAAAAATATTTAAATCAATAAATTCCAAACTTTTACGAATCGAACGAAGCTGATTTTGCCACAGTTTTTTGTATAAATCGCTTGAGATGGGCTGGACATATCTACAGACGCTCACAAGATGCCCGAGTACTAAAAGTGACAGTAGCAGACTTAATGGATGGCAAGAGATCACGAGGAAGACCGAAGATATCGTGGATTGGATGTGTTGAAAAGGACACTAGGGTCCTTAATATCCCGAACTGGCAGAAGGTTTCTAAGAATAGAATTGACTTCAGACGATCTCTAAGCGCACCAATGGGTCCACGTGCGCCCCAGCCAAGGAAGTAAGTAAGTAAATTCCAAACTTAATCAAAATAACGGTCAAACAAATAAAAGAATTAGCTACGCAGTCATTAAATCAGAAATTAATAGAGTTGTATTTTTAAAATCTTGATTAATGAACTTAAAATCATGTGTCCAATATTTTATACATTGTTGAATATATTCGGCATTCTAAAACCAGATTTTACTGTTTTCATTCGAATTTGTACGATTATTAGTCTATCGCCAAACTAATTGAACTTTGAATTGTCTTTAACATTGCTTGTGTTGATTATTCTTAACAAAGTGTTTATGTGCAAGTGAAAAGGTACCTTAAAAAGTATAAGCTTGCGTTAATAATACTTAGATCTTTTCTTCAAGGTCATTTCAGTTGAAGAAGGCAGTTGAAATAAAGCACGTCTTTTGTGTAACAGTATGATTCACATGTTGTTTAATAACAATAGTTTTGGATGCGATTAGCTTCATCTTATTACTATTTAAAAATAAGAAAACTTGTGTTGAGCATTTAATCTACAACTTTAATTTTAATTTGATCATCCGGCTGTCTAGCCTTTGATTAGAATACATCACTAGAAAGAGGAGTCGATATCAGGTGGTTGAGGTCGGAATTAAAATAGCTTATAATTTTTTTTGGATTAACTTTCTGCTGAAAACAATTAAAAACCCTTTAAACATTTTTTTGATTAAAATCTCTCTATTAATCCTTTTAATCTCATTAAAGTTTACTTGTACTTATTAATCAATAATACACAGCACCACAGTCATTAATTTTTTTAGTATCAAAAATAATCTTAATTAAATCTTCAGCTTTTTCTAACCCAACCAAACTACTAGCTTCTTAATACCTATCGATTTTCAAGTCTTGTTTACACTTTAAAACCTTAATTGAGTTGCAAATGATTTAATTTCACTCGACGTGCTTATAAGCATTGTTATTAGTCTAAAGTTGTAACTTTAGTTCTAGCTAATTGCTTAAATTGCTCCACAGCTGCATGCAATAAAGTCCATTTTCTTAATTCAAGATCAAATTCCTTGCATGTCTCGTACAAAATTTCTCTTAACTGTGGAAGTAGTGCATGGTCAAGTGAGGGAAATAAGTGGTGTAATGTATGATCTCCGAAATGTGTAATTGACACAGCAACACTATGATTAGCTTCTTTACGATCAACAGTTGCAGCCATTTGATAAATACCGAAATCCAAGCTCTTAAATTCATCGCCTTCGTGAACAATTGAGTATCCATGATGTCCAGCATTAACTGCCATTAAACTGTACAAAAAGGATCCAGTCATTAAAATTATTCCCCATACGTAAATAATTGTTGTGATGTTGGAGATTGTGATCGATGAATTGCCAAAGATGAACATCAATGCAGGGGGTACCAGGATTAAAAGTTCATCGTAATGAATTCTCTTGGTTTTTGCTAATATAAAGCCAGAATACCTGGGGAATGGATAAAAATTATTTTTTTTTTGTTGACGTAGAAACAACTTGTTTCTTCATTTTTAAAGCCACATGAAGTCATTTTTGACATAAATATTGATTAATATTTTAATTACAACATTGACTTTCTGATTTGAAACTCAAATAATATTCAAGAATATTTTGCTAACCTTGAAAAGAGGCTTGAATGGAATAACAGCATATAAACCAAAGGTGTCAAAACATATGAGATAATAATTTGCAGACTCGAACGTGGTTGAACTGAAATGATGAAAAATTCATTAAGTTTTAAGTAAAGTGTAAAGATCTTGATTGGGAAACCGGTGGTAAACATTTATCAAGTTAGTTCTAGGATCTTAATTGGGGACATAGATTAAAGTATTACCTGGAATCCAATGGAAGTGTGGTTCATAAGCAGATATTTCCAAATCCGTGTATGAGTTGGGATACAAATGATGAGACTGAAATAATTAAATATTGATTTAAAATTTGGTTTCATATTGCGACCCGTTGACAGGTATGACAGATCTGTGACAAAAAAATCTGCCTGTCATAGGCAGTGTCAGTGAAAGATCTGTCACCTGAGTCTGTTACTAGGTGACCTGTCTCTCAACTCTGTATTGAACTACAATAATTTAAATTGCAGCCGACCTTCAATTTAAGCTCTGGTTCATACGTTCTAATAAGAACGTAACTTCCCATACTCACCATGCCATGAAATACACGCCAATCTCTCCATCCAATCAATATAAAATTCGCAGTATACATTCTCCAACTATCTCGTTGATGATTAAAATTATGAGATGCGGCATTCATCCAAGCCGCACATTGTGATGCAACAAGAATAGAAAATATTTTTAAAACCATCCATTCAGCTCGTATTGCCATGATAGACGATATTAGGAATCCACAAACAATTGCATCCAAACAGAATTTTGATTTCCATAAATCACCTTTATCAAGTAATGGAAGCTTTTCAGCGACCCTGCGTTTTAGTGTGCGATAAAATCCATTATCATCATATGTAAGTTTGTAGTTGCGGGGACTATCAGCATCTTTAACATAGAATTTATTCAAAAGGTTTGATGCTTTCGGGAGAATGTGATAGCTTTCAAATGCCTCTGTGATGTCCGTACCCTGTCAAATGGTTATGAATGTTAGGAGTAGTCTTAATGACATAAAAATACATCCTCTATTGTCTCGTTTGGTTTTTGATTTCGTAAAAATTTGGGGTAGTTACTCAAAGATCAGAAGTTTAATGATGCTAGCCGTAGACTTAATTGACAAAAATGTTTTGAATCAACAGGTTAATTGTTGAGTTAAAAAATATAAATGCTAATTATTTATAACACGTTTCTATTGTTTCTTAATTTAGATGACATTGTCTTGATCATCTTGAACTTTATAATGCTGCACTAGAACAACTTTAACGTCTAATGCTATTTATAGTCTAAGTTTCTATAACGAAACTGAACGAAACAATTAAATTCAACTTGAATATTTTTCAAAATAAAAGTCCTGAGATAACAAGACTGAATAAATTTATCAAAATTTTAATCAAAAAATGATTTAACGAAATTTTAAGCTCCACAGTAGATAAACAAACCCCAACTCTAAGAAAATTCATCCCAACAAAACTTACAATATTAAATTTTTCATTCACAATTAGGTTCAAATATTTACTTTAGACAAAGCTATCCATTCACTTCCTCCTGGGTGATTTTTAATAAAATCGGACAAGTTATATAATTTATCATGGACTCGCCAATATCCTTCTGCATTATCATCCTCTTGCCGACCTTCGAGCCATCGCCAACAACTTTTTATCGACTCATCGCGAAATGAAGGGTATTTATTGACTATTGTTGTGTACTTAATTTTTGATTTTAGATCCATGCTACTCAACGGTTTACAATGGACTGAGAAGAAAAATAAACATGAAAGCTAAAGTCCATAGCTGTATGGAAAAAAATAAAGAATTGATCATGAGGGTAAAGCTGTTAAGAGTAATAAAGAGAATCCAAAATAAACCAGTTTTTAATCTAATGTGCTCACTTTTTGTGAGCTTTTGGTGATGTGATGAGATGATGTTCATAGATGTAAAAATACTAGTTTTAAACAAGATAACTTATAATTTCTTTTAATTTGATCTACAGGTATTAGGGCCCAAGAATAAGTCAAGATAAGTCAATGTAGCTCAGTAAATGTAGTTCAATCAATGTAGCTTAGTCAGTGTAGCTCAATCAATGTAGCTGAGTCAAAGTAGCTCAATCAATGTAGCTCAGTCAATAAAGCTGAATAAATATAGCTCAGTCACTGGTTATTTTTAATTTAACCCTGAACTTTCAGAAATTTTTTTATTGAGACAAATCCTTGCAAATAAATTGCGATCTCTTTATTGTAGACAAAAATTTCTGAAGTATCCTTTGAGAAAGGTCAACAATTTTTCGAGAAAGAATCCTTTTCAAGTTTCAATTGTAAAAAATATTTTCTTTTTACCTCTCTTCATTTTGAATATGAATAAATTTCAAGTTACTCTTTATTGATGTCATGGCAATGTATATATGATGTATATTGTCCGAAACCCATTTATGTCACAAAAGATTACACTTGATAGATTGTTGCTACTAAGAAATAAAGTTTTTTTTAAAAAAATCTTGGATTTCGTCTGAAAGTTTCTTTGAAATTTAACAAATTTGTTTTAATTCAATTCAAAATCTGTAATTTTCTCTCTTGAAACTCAACAATTTTAAGCAAATTTCATGGAAATAATTAAATTCAAAATGAATATTTCTCATTAAAAATAATAAAATGGTTTGAAATTTTCCATCCTTAAGCTCTTGAGCATCAAAAAAAATTTTTTAAAAATGATACATAAAGTTTTACTTTGCAATATCAATGAAAGTTTATTTTTATCGAAACCTTCAAGCATGAAATACAGTGTGCCTATATATAGGCTTTAAGAGAAGGAGAAAAATTCTGATAAAATAAATGTCTATTGAATTCATATCGAATGTGTAAATATTGCATACATTTTCGCATGAATAACTCAATATGATGATTATTTCTTGCCTCTTTTCGTTCTTGTAACACTACACGACTCTCTCTTTCCTGCACATCGTCTCTTTTATTCACACGAGAACTGTGGAAATATTTTGTTTGTTATATGAAAATTTGAGGATGTGATGTGGTTTGAAATTTGTTAAGAAAGCGCATTTTACTGTCAATTCATTTTTAAAAAGTAGGAATTGAACTAAGAATTAAATAATAGTCAAAGTTTGAACTTTAATGCTCACAATTGGATCGTTAATCTCAAAATTTGAACCTTAACAGTCAAAATTGAACTTAACGCATTAGAATTGAACTTAATAGATCAAATTTGAACTTAATGTATCATAATTGAACTTAATGTTTCAAAATTGAACCAAAAGTTTCGAAATTTGAACTTTAACGGTCAAACTTTAGCTGAAACTTTTAAAAATTGAACTTTAACGGTCACTATTGAACCAAAAGATTCAAAATTTGAATAATAAAACGAACTTAAAGATACAAACTTAAATTTTATTTAAATGAAAAACTAAACTGAATCTTTCAAAAATGTCTTTAATTCTCATATTAAAAAGAAAAAATTATCAAAGGAATTTAATCTTCAAATAAATCGCTAGAAAATAAATCAATATTCTTCAAAACTTCATTAAAACAAGATCAAAAGTTTAAGGTTCTCTTAAGATGATCCCAAACACCTCCACAAAAACATAAACTTTTTTCAAGTTTGCTTCAAAGTAAAAAGAAGTCGTCAAAAAAGAAAACAGCATTTCTTTTAATTTATTTTCGATCGATTCAATAAATATGCCTAAAATGAGCAAAAATATATTAATTTGATAAACATACACGCACGCAATATCGTCTGTCTAGATGTCTCTGAAAAGATGACAGAAAAGATGAGAATTGACAGTCAAAAAGAAAAAAAGTAAATCGAGGGGAAAGAAAAATTTGAATAATTTTAAATCAGTGATATTCATTTGTATAGTTTGAAGGAATATCACCTCAAAAAACATGATGGCAATGACATCAACTTACAAAAGAACAGTTCCATGAACAAATATGAGAGTTGAATAACAAACTAAATGTGTATTAAAGGAAGGATGTTTTCCTTATGTTGATAGTGAATTCGAAATGGAATTCGACGCACTGTAATGCCAGAATATAAAAATATATGTATTCCTATTGTCGTTCATTATAACGACTATACGCATTAAATCTACATAAAAATAAATTCTATGCTGTAAATGCCATATGTATGAATGTAAATATATTATGTAAGTTTTAAAAAAAACACAATTGAATTTACACTTCTAATCCCTGGTGAAGTATTACATACGTATAGAACGTGTGTCCCATTTTATATCAACTTATGTTGTGTATTGTCGTTTGGAAGGAATAAAAAATTTTTATCCCTTTTCGAAAGAATTTTGAATGTTTTTACATGTAATCGGCATTTAATATTCACTTTGGTAGTTTGGGTCAGCTGTAATGGCTTGATGGTTTGTTTTGGACGTTTGCAAGCAGGTTAAGTCCTTAGTTGCAGTACAATATTAGAATTAATATGAGAATTAAACCTTTCAAATATTTAAACCAGGTTGATTGTGACTTTTAAAGGCAACAAGGAAATTTTTCGAAAAATATTGAATGAACTGAAAACTAAGCTTTCATTCTTCCTTTTGAAGATTAAGCTGTTTTCATCCTGCAGTAAGCTTGGATGAAAGTTAATATTTTTGTCTAAATTTTCATCTTCATTGACATTCATTAAATTGACGCGTGCATGACTTTTGAGTGATGATAATTAATTGCAAAATTAGCTTGAGAAATTACAATTTTAAAATTTATATTCATTTTAATTGGAGGATGTAGATTCATTTCTTTTTGATGCTTGTTCACATTTTTATAAAATATTACATAACACGTGCCATCGTTTATTGATGTTTACATACTTTTGGTGTGGGTACAAAGTTTATTATTTTTAATATGTGCCATATTAAGAACATTTCTAGGTTTATTTATACTAATCTGTATCTTTATTGATTTATTTTTGAGACTGTAGCTAGGGAATAAATTTTCATCAGTTCCACACTTTCGGTAAACAAGTAACAAACCCTGGCAATGCTCCTGATTTCTAGTTACTAAAACCTATTCTTTAATAGAAAACAGAAGCCGTATAGCTCTAGAACCGGAATAGTATATAAGGGTATATACAAAAAGCACATGCTTCCATCCACTCGGCTCCAATTAATAACTTTTAAGATCCATCGTTGACTCATATTCAAACTTAAAAAACACAAAATAAATGCGTCATTTTTATTCAAATCCCAAACTTTTTCGCAACTTCTTGTTCGACAAGATATTCCTTTCATATATCCTCTCCATTATTTGAAAATGGCAAGAAAAGAATTGGAAAAAAATAACAATAACAACAACATTTACATTCTCTCACATTCATTCTTTCGTGTATCATCCTGTGAGCTGCTTTATTTTTTGTAAAATTTATTTGTATGTCATTCGAATGTATATTCAATAATATTGAGATGTTCGGAAAGGAGAAGCAGGGAAAAAGAAAAAATTCAATAAAAGCCGGAAATGACACAATTTATTGTAATACATAAGAATATGTCTCAAGATTTACAATGTTTTCTTTTTATAATCTGACATTTATGTTATCATGATAGCATTTGGATGATGGCAGATGAAAATCTAATACCTGCATGGAGTTACTGATATCAATCCTTAGTTTATCCTTTTATGATGCCATGCAGATTTTGACCTCGAACATGAAACTTTTATGCCCTGGATTCCCTACAGCGTGAATCAGTATTATTCATAAGCACTCTGACCTTTCTCAATATTCCTTCACTGACAGACTGCATGCGAAGTGAAACAAAAAAAAAAAAAGATGAAAAGTGTTTGCATAATTCTCATAATTGAATGGAAATTCTAAAAAATTTAATTGAATTGAAAATAATTTTATTCAAGTTTTTCCGATGATTTCAGTTCCTGCAAAAATTGGCTGAGTTAAAAAATTTGAAGAATTGCCAACATTTTTTTTTGAATTAAAATTTTCGCTTTATTAACATTTTTCATATGTTTTTTGGGAGACTTTTTTAAATGTAGTGGGGATGGATTTTGAGGATACTCTTGGGGAAAGTAGCCATCTCTTGCATTAGTTGTTCTCAGAAGAAATTCTCAGCTTTAAATTGTATTAAAAATCACAAACTGCAAACATAAGTTTTTTTAACTTTAATTCACATATGAAAATAGAAATCAATTCAGCTAATAATTCAATTTTTTGTTAAAGCGTAACTAATATAAACTATTTAACGTACAAACTTTCATCGAAGCGGTGTTTTCGTTGATAAAAAATTAGTTTAAAAAAATTTGAATAAAAAATTGAATAGCGGCGGAACAAAATAAAATTTAAAAAAGTTTTTAAACTAAGGGGTCGTTCGCTTATGATGTCTGTCTTTTTTACATGATTTTTAGACTTCTCTCATTCTTGTGTCACAAAACTGTCATATATGCCATAATCCAACCCCCCATTGTGACGCTAAAAATTTGGATGTCATAATCCCCTCCGTGTCTCAATGTGTTACAAATACTTAAATCCCCATCAACTCAGGCGCGTAGCCAGGGGGGCGATTTAGGGGACAAATCCCCCTTCGTCTTGAGAAATTTCTTCATTTTGCTAGAGTTTTTATGAAAAACTTGAAAAAATAGCCCCCCCCCCCCTCCTAAAAGTTTTCCATACAAAAAATGTCCCCCTTTTCAAATTTTTGCAGTATGCATAAGAGTTTAAAAACACGAGCATAGTTTACACGATCCATAGCATTATTGTTATTTAAACAGTGACAAGTTACTAGAAATGACATTAATGGTTTAGGTTTAGTCGTACTGCTTTTGCTTTGCCGCTAAAATAAAGAATGTATTCACCTAGACTTCACCTAGACTTCTGGCAAATTGAGAACATTATTTCTACAAATTTATTCTCAAAATTTTCAAATTTTCATTTGACTTAAACTCGAAAGGATTCAAATTAGAAATTAAAACAAAATCAATAAGATAAGAAGTCAAAGTACTTCATAGGAAATTAATTAAAATACATGAGAAAAGAATTAACTTTTGGATACAAGAACAGACTCACTTCATGAGTAAATAATAGCCTTTTGAAGCATAATTCTATTTACAATCGGATTAAAGCAAATCCTCTTTAGAACATGATATATCCATCTATCGAAAATCTATCTATGTACATACATGAAAATTCTTGAGAATAATCAACGTTACTGTAGACAAATTTCAGACATATCATGTCACATATGAAGTCTGATTGCTTCTTCCAAGAGGTATGAATTTACAATATTGATGATAGTAGAAATTTCTTAATGTCTCTTAAAATTGATCATCAACTTTTATTTAGTAAAGCCTACACATTTGGTATGATAAGATTCCGAAAAAGTTCTAAGGGGTCGTTCACTTGTGACTTCCGAAATTAACGGTCATTTTTCAAAAAACACAATGGATTTCCTGGAATTTCTATTGTTCTTTTCTTGTAACCCCCCTTCCCTGTACGTCATAAGTGAACGGCCCCTAATTTGTATTTAGATTGACTTTAACAATTGAATTAAAGTTATTAATTTTTGAAATTGCTTTCTGAATGGGTCATTCATAAATGATGTTTAAGTTTTGAAGGATGATAACGAGGGCGGAAGAGGAGGGGCTTTCTTATCATCATTCATAACTTAGGGCTTCCTAAGAAGAAAAAAACAAAATTCTAAAAATTCACACAAAATAATTTTAAAATTTATTATCACCAGTTCAAAACCAATACTTTTAAGGTACATAAAATTTAATTATAACGACTATTTAGTTCCTCAAACTTCTTATACCTCATAAAAAGCTCTTTTCGATTGACTTCATTGGGTATGAATGTTTTTTGAACTTTATAGAATTGTGAAGCACTCTCGAGTTCATCAAGAACTCCACAGTTGTATGCGGCTAAATATGCACATCCAATGGACGTTAATTCAGTACTATTATTGCCACGTTCTATTGGAATATTGAGCAAGTCGGCGATTGATTGACAAATAAAGTCATTTGCAGATATTCCACCATCAATTCTAATTTTATCGAAATGATAATTTGAATCCTCTTTGGAAAGGAAATAGAAGTTGGCAGCTTTAAAGACAATACTTTCCAAAACGGCTCGTACAAAATGACATTTAGTCGTCGACTGTTTATATCCAATAAAGCCTGCCAATGAATGAAATTTCGGTATAAACATAACACCATCCGAATCATTTACTGATAATGCCATGTCAGATAGCTCTTCAACATTCGTACACAGTCCAATTGTTTTTGCAAATCGAATTAAAGTTGACGATTCATTAAATGGCCTCTCCGTATAAAAGACCATTGACGATTGCTTCTTCCTCGTTTGCGTGTTCCATGCAATCAATGGATATGCACCCGTACGTGAACCCATGCATTTACGACCAGTGTTTATGTTTAGAAATGTCCCAGTTCCCAACGTTATTTTTGCATCCATTTTACGGAAACATGCGTTTCCAATCAATGAAGCTGCTTGATCCGCAATCGTTGTTGAGATATGAACCGGCACGCCAAGTACACCTTTATGTGTATAACCGAAGTCATATGAATTGTCAACAATTCTAGGCAGTACGCTTCTGTCAATACCAATCATTTTCAAGTTCATTGATACGTAATCAAGAGTGAATGGATCAAAAAGTCCAGTTGCACAAGCATTCGTTATGTCGGTGATAAAATCAAATTTTTCAAATTTATTGAAATTTTTTAATCGATTTAGAAGCCATGTATCTACGGTACATATTGCTGCACGACCAGATTTCACTGCCTCTTTTAATTTCCTGTTAGTTTGCATCAAATGTGATAAACGTGGTGCAATCTATTTATTCATATAAGAAAAGAAAATATAGAAAGTGAAAGTGACGGTGTTATTTTATGGAGTCGCATGGAAATAAATTAAATCACTTTTTAGTGCATTTAGTGATCTTTTTTGGATTTTTATGTGCTCTTGTTCAAATTTTGTCTACAAGTTCTCTTAATGTTTGAGGCAGTGTTGTCCAAACTTTTTGAGCCCGGTACACCCTAGGGGTAAGTCATGACCAAAGTAGGACACAGCATGTGGCTCGCGTAATTTCTAAAAGATTTCTACGGCACACCAATGTGCCACGGCACACAGTTTAGACAACACTGGTCTAAGGGGTCTTTCTAAATTTTGAGCAGGACCTTCAGCACAACAAATATTAAATAATAATCCTTAAAATCCAAAAATCATGAAAAATGCGCTTTAGTACCAAATAAAATATTTACTTGTAATCAGATACTTACAAAATTGTTGAGCATTTTCAGTTTGCTGACCTGTTTAAATCGCTCACTTCGCGTGATCCAATATAAAAATGCTGCACCGCAATTGATAGATTTGAGGAAACAACCGGTATTAAAGTTATCTACCATGTCACTTCCCCTACGATCCGACCATGATGTGAGATGATGGAATGGTTCACCAGTGACCTTGTCTATGGTAATAAATGTAGCTCGCTGTACTGTCATGCCAAGACATAATATATTTTCAACATCCACTTGCGCATCTAATTGTCGATTGAAGATGAAATCAAGGTCAATCACTTTGTTTTTTAAGTTTTATTTATTTATAACTCGCGTTGGAAGCGATCTTTGATTTATTTTACCTTTTAAAGCATTTCGGAGAATTTTTACAATATTTGTGAATAAATCGTTTGGGTTTATTTCGCATGTGCCTTCGTCTGACTGGATTAATTTTATCTATTGTACGATGAGATGTGGTAATAAAGAACTTTAATTAATAATAATGTTAAGCTTGTAAGGAGAATTTGTTTGTGAGATTAATAATTAGTAAATGCAAAGGAATAATAAAAAATGTTTTTGAACTTAAATAATATCCCGACCGTCACACATTGAAATTTTTGCCACCCGGTTTCCGATTTCGATGAATTTCAATGTGTGCCGATCGGGTATCGTTCTATGGACGACAACCGGCAACTTTGTATTTTTTCAATGTTTGCATCTCAAAATTAGCTTTTAAAAAAGTTTGAATGTATTGCGATTTGATTTTTAATGAACTTTAATCTGATGTCATAAAAAATGCATTTGAATAGTGCTTGATTTATTTTAAAGACGCAAATTAACTTTAGCAGAATTCGGTTAATCAAATAGAAATCCAAAAGAACCAAGCCGGCGTGACTCTAGCATGGTGCTGGACTTAAATCAAATCCAAAACCATGCTAAAGTTGCACCAGCGTGGAGCCAGAATTTTATTCAATTAACCGACTTGTGCTATTCGGGTTTGGTCACATCTAAATATCAAAAATTATGAGGTAGGTCATGGAAGTAAGAAAAGGCCTAAAACTGTTAATAGACATTTACTAACATGCAACAGTGTTTATAGAGAAACCAGGATGATTTTTATAAAATTATTGCTTCACTGTAAAAAATTGAGTTCAGCATAGGCTGACAAAAAATGCCTTTAGGTCTTCAAAAGATCGTGAATGCGATCATTTTATGTCATAGAAGAGAAATAGTTTTAAAATTATTAAAATTACCAGAATGAGATAAATCATTTCATTTGTCATTCTCAATAGCCTCATTCTTTATAGAATCAGAATTTAAAGATTTCGTTCATTTGGTTTTGTTTATTGAACCTGAATCAAATGCTCTACTTAAATTACTCCATTTGTTTAAATATTGCATTTGAATTTTAAAATCGAAATAACATGAAAATTGTGAGCTTAATCAGCAGTTTCAGATGTTGTTACTTAACTGCTTATTGTTTTCTGAATTTATCAACATTAAAATCGTGCTAGTATTTATCTTTTATATTTTAAACATACGCTAGCTTTAAGCTAGCCTCCTCAGAAACACTACTATAGTCAAATTCGTTTCCGGAAAATAGGTGACATCCTGCGTGTCAACCTATTTTATTCATTTACGAACGAAATGGAATCTATCTTATTTTTGAAAAAAAAAAGTCCTCTGAAAACCAAAGCAGATGTTCATCCTAGTCAAATTTAATCAAGATTTCAACGATTTCCAAAAATTCCTCATTATTTGTTTGAGTTATCTCAGGTATATTCATTGCAATCACGATGACAAACAAAATTAATATTTAATTGCTGTGTTCCGTTAAAATTTTGTCACTAAATTAGACCACAAAAATATATTTTTGTCAATCAAGCGTTCAAATTATCTAGCAATTATATGGTAATTATTGAGCCGAATTGTAGACAGTTTTTAGTGTCATGAAAGTTTCGAAAATTTATATTGTTCCGTGCCATTAATTTTTTATGAAATTTTTGAGTCATTGCTAACGGCATAATGAAGTTTCTTGAGAAAACTAAATTTCATGTTAATTAAAATAAACAAATTTGAAGGTTGAAAGATTTATCAACAGGTGAACAGTCAAAAGTGGAAGGGGGACCCCAAACCAACCAATTTAACACCCCTGAAAATTCTGACTACATTCTTAGTGTGATAGGATTTAATATTCTTCGTTTATCTTTTAAGAAAACAACTCAAGCATACATGCACAACCTCCTTGAACTTTCAAATATTTCCTCAATATCTCACATGTTAATCCCGAAAGATCTTAAGCATTGTCTTAAACAATTCAAATTTATCACACATTATTTTACCTCGTACTTAGCACTTCCGAGAATTTCAAACGTCGTTGAGCTTATCACAAAAGCTCGAACAGTCGTTGAGCCTAAATCAAGTATCAAAATTGGCTTCGTCATATCAAAATTCTTAAGTACATCACAACTTAACTTTAAAATCGACGACCGAGCAAGCTGAACGAAAATGTAAAACTGCTGGTTTTAGTTTGCGCACAAAAATGATTTTTTTTTACTTCGGTGCTCTCACTCTCTTCATAACATTGAGTTGTTATCGTATGTGCACAAACTGGTTTGACTTATTGAGAAGAGAGACAAAAATTAAGTTTGCAGAGCTGGTCGTTTTTTTCTCTACTAATCAAGTTCATTGCAAAGTAAAACACAACAAACTTATTATATAATACGATTATGGTATGCTTGAAAGTTTCTGCAGTTTCTTGACCCGCCAATCAATAGAAAATAAAATTTATGGTCTATTTTGCTGCTGCTGTATCTCATTGTGTACTTTTGGCTTATGTAAATAATTGTAATCTGAGACAGTAAGAAAATGGAGTGGTAGAGTCATGACTCATGAGTTATACATGCATTTAACATGTACAGCATAACAATTGGACCTAGAGTGAACAATGTTCACCTGCATTCATAAATTTTTTAATGCATAACCCACTTTGCTAAAGCTTCCCATCTAGAATGGAATGTGCAATTTATTTTTATTTTATTTTTTTTTTGAAAATTTAATTTTTTTTCTCTGGTTTGAAGGGAAGAGTTTAGACTCTTGTATGGATTCGCTAGAATAGTTTTGGTAAATTTTAATTGAATTTTTAAATTGAACCATTTTTGGTTTTGAATTTTTAAATAATAGGCAATTGCAAATAGTGAGGGGGGATAATTAGGTAATTTACTTGAACGATCGTACAGATCAGCTGTGATCCATGACCTTCTTTAGATGGTGCCGGAAGCTGACTCTCTTGTATCAGCAGCCTCGTATACTAAGTTCTACACATAAGAGCTAATTAATTTTTTTATCATTTTTTGATAACCCCCCAACCCCCTCTCGATTTGAAAAGATCAAAGAAAAAACAATTACTTCAGCAACAAGACCAAGTCTTGATATATGAAAAGATTGGCATTGAACAAAAAGAATTCCAAAATCAATAAACAGATCAAAAAATACTCCAAAACATCCGCTAAAGTCTCCAGCTAGCGACAAAAAGAAATCAATTAATAAAAGTAATTTAAGCACGTTGTAGTTTTATTTTTCAAAAAAATAGAAAAAGAAAGCACAAAAATTCAACGGAGCCACATCTTTTCGGAAGTCAAGCGGAAAACTTTGAACCATTATTTGTTTATGTATCATATGACATCGGAAAAAGAAAAAAAAAAGAATTTTCCCCTCAAAAAAATATTATTTCGACGATTTTCAATTTTAGACGACTTTTCAACCCCAACTGCGCATGTTCGCGCACAAACTTTTACCACCGAAAGTAATTCAAAGTGATTTAGTCATATTCAAACGTTCGTGCCGATAACAAGTTAATTTTGTCGCGCTCCTTTTTTTGAACGGAGAGAAAAAAATATTTCTTTGTAAAGTGAAAAAAAAGGAAAATAAATTTTCCGCAAAAATCGAAAAGAATTTTTTTTTTGAGTTGAGTGAGAAAATTTTAATCGGAAACTTTTAATTGAACGGAAAATGATTAAAGTTAAATAAAAATCAGCATAAATGACTTTTTAATGAATGCTGAATATAATAAAGTCAGCGGAATAGAGCCAAGCACCGAATAAAAGTTTATGTCGAGTATGTGAAAAAAAAATAAAATAAAAAGAAAATATTTCAGCTCTTCCGTTTATGTTTATACTTATGTGTAGTAAGCAAAACTTTTTTTTTGTGTTCAAAACGATGAAACGAGAGGTGTAACTGTAATGATGTTAGTGATTTACATTTGAGGATTTACTTCAAGTTATTTAGTTTCATGGATTAAGTGAGCACATGTTGGAATAATAAAATTCATGTGAATTAAAAGTCGTTTGCTTATCTCGTACTTTAAACGTATGTGTATGTTTATCTTTGCCTTTAACTTAATGACATGTTATTTTATTGAAAGGAACGAAAAGAATGCTTTAAGAGCTTTTACAAGGAAATATTTAAAACATTTTCGGCTGCAGTTGACAGATTTTTTTCTTCTTAAGAATTTGAATATTTGCTAGACTAAAAATGAAAATTCTTTTTCCTTCAAAGTTTTGTGATGCAATGAAAATATTTTAATTGGTTTCGAGTTTAATCGGATGTTGATAGATTTTCAAAATTTATTGACAAATATTTTGACTTTATTAAATCACATGTGGTCGATTTACAAGCCCACATTTCAATTAGAATCGAATGGAAATGATCAATATTAATCAAAAATCAATGAAATTGTCGGATTATTTATCAATCAATTTGTCATTAGAGGAAGTTGTTCAAAATATTGACAGTTTTATTATAAATGTTGCTTTGACTAATGTGATTTCTGGGGGAATTTGTGTTTATGTGGGGATGTGTAATCGAGTATGTTGGATGCAAATCTTTTTAAAATGCTACAAAATTGCTGGAAGTTGATTTAAAATAAAAAATTTAAGTCGTCTTCAATAGTGTTGACTTCTTTAGAACTTGCAAGTTTTATTTTTGGTGAAGCCGAAAATGTTATAAAAAAAATAAAAACAAGGGTGTGGAACTGATAAATTTATTGTTTTGAACATATCTTCATTTCAGCACCCTTGCATATTTCTTTTAAGTTTTAAAAAAATTGCTTTGAGAGAGCTTGGACCTTCTTATTCCTAATCTTGCAATTTTGTGGTCAGATTTACATTAAAACTTTACTTTTGCATTTTATCAAAGTCAACGTTCTTTTATGAAGTCCGAGATTTCGGGGAGAGTTGCCTAGGATTTTGCAACAGCTCAAACAAAGGACAGGGAAGTCTAGAAATCATGTTGTTTTGAGGGACGTCATTAGTGAATGACCCTAAATCAAATTTTACAAATTATGCATTTTTATTAAACAAATATTTCAAAAAGAGTCGCTATCAATACGATTTATTTTGAAATATTATTTGCATTTTAATATTATGCAGAATTTAATTATGAAAAAAATGCTTCGTCAGCTAGAGTAATTCATAAATGATGTCATACTTTTAAAACATCCAGGGGTTTGGTATTTTGTGATAGTTTCATGCAAAAGGTTTTTTAACAGACGGGGGAGGGAGGAGGGTGTAAATTTCGAACGGATCCTTAAATGTCAATTTTAATTACTTTCTGCTTCATTCTTCAATTAAAAAAAATTCATTTTTTATTCTTTTAAGTCTGGAGTTTATTTTTAAAAGTCAAATGTCACAAAATGACTGACAATAAATAAAAAAATGTAAAAAATTTCAATACTATTTTCAAAAATAAAATTCAAACAGGAAATGAAATTTTATCAATAAATTTAATAAATATCGGAAATCCTAAACTCTTTACCTAAATATAGCTAGCAAACTTTTATTCAAGGATACAAAATACTTTTCAAAGTGAAAATTTTCCTCGCCTTTTTTTTTTCGTAAAACGTTAAATCACCGTATGTCGATAAAAAAATCGATAAATACTTCCTTTCATGCCCCAAAAACATAAAAAAGCAGTACATTGCGTTCATAAATGAGCCGTCGATTTAAGGAGAAATAACAATATTAATTAAATTTTTATTGCGCCACAAAATACATAAAATATATTATTTTTTTCTCCTTTTTTTTATGTTTCAACAATGGCAGATTATTGAAATGAATTGTGTGGAGCAGAAAAAAAATTTATTAAATGGCATTTTATCTTGGGTCAAAAATAATAATATTTAACCCCTTGAAAATAAACATTGTTAAAAGCGTTAAAAGGAACAATTGCGAACTTTTATATTTGATGAGGCATGCAATTGACTGGTGGGCTGACCATGAAAATTGGTGTAGTCAGGCGCCTTACCTATTCGACCAGCAAGGCACTTAACTGATTTCATTTATGTATAAGCAATAATAATGCTCTTTTAGCATGTAGACCTATTGCACACCAACCCATTCTAAAGTTGATGACACACCCGAATAGCACAAGTCGGTTAATCCAATAGAAATCGGGATACCAAGCTGGCGTGACTCTGACATCGTACTGGACTCAAATCGAATTCAGTGTCATGACAGAGTTATGTCAAATATTGCCGTAATCTATTCAATTAACCGACTTGTGCTATTCAGGACCCTGATGGCAATTTTTGTGTGATTGCAACTAGTCATAATCCACTGAAGTCTTGAACCTAATTAAATGAATCTTGCTTTTGTTAAAGTTATGCTCTTAAACAAATTCTTGATCAATTCAAAGGAGTTCAAAGTGAAATTGTCATCCACATTCTTGTTCGTAACTGTCCTAGAAATAAGTCACACATCAAGTCACCCTGTGCACGATAAAAACTATTGTTCTATGTCAGAATTGATGACAATATATTCAAAGTGAACGTTTCCTAGTTGATATAAAGAGACAATTTGTTTATTATACACAAATAATGTACACAACTACACTATGCGATCGTAAAAGTGAAACCCTTAAAATAAGACTCAGTGTGTGTATTTGTTATTTTATTTATAGATGATATGATACAGTAAAAAATAACTTTTTTTATATTTTCATCATTCGGTGGATGGGAAAATTTTTCATTTCATTTTTCCGAGAATAATACGAGTTGTCGGCTGAGAAGGAAAGCAACGAAAAGAAAAATAAAAGAAAAAAAAAGTTTTTTTGCTTATTTTCAGTAAATTTGCTGTTCGGTGTAAATAAAATGATTTGCAAAAAAAATGTGTTGAAAATTTTTTTTCTGTTTCAAACCGCGGCAGCTTCCGGAATCGAGTTCTAGCGTAATTTGCTCATTCTCTACCATTCTCTAGAGAAAGGAGGAAAAATTGTTTTGTAAAAAAAAGTTTGAATGAACTTTTAACACCGTGGATTCCAATGGGAAATTTTTCAGTACAGCTCAAATTATGCAACTTGTTTTAATTAACAATTCATGTTTATGAATGTGTAATGATTTCTATAAACTTTGTTTTTCGTAGAAAAAAAAAACTGAAAATTTATGCTGCTTCATTGCAATTATAAAACTTTTAATTAACATTTTATGTCGATACATTTCACATTCAAATCATTAATATTTTCTGGGAAACTTTAATGTCTGCACTAATTAATGGAAAATCTGTTGAAATTAAAATTAGCACAATGATTGAAATTTTATGGAACAAATTTTTTGAGATTAGCAGAAATCATGCTTGAATTTATTAGAAATTGAAATTTATTGGAAATTATTCAAGTCATTATGTTCTACTTTACTTATTATTCAATCGATTTGTATTTACTATTCTCATTATTTTACAATTGTTCAATTAACATAAATAATATTTAAACACAATTATTTATTTCCAATTGCTGCAATCTGCTGATTGTTATTAATTTGATAAATACAATTAGTTACACATCTGTCGATAATGTTTCCATATTGAGCTAATATTGAATCATTCAATTTTAAACTATTTTTAATTTTGCACCAATTTAGGTAATGAAATGTTTTGAATCTCATGAATTCAACAAATATCTTTATCATTTTTTTTATAGTTCTTAAACTCAAAATCTTAGACAGATCTCCAAACAGATTGAGATTAATGAGCGAGTTAAGATCCAATTCTACAATTCATTGGGAGATTCCCGATCGGCACACATTGAAATGTTTGCCTCGCGACATCATTGCCAATTCGAGTCAACTTACGAAATTATAATTCCTGTTTAATTTTATGAACTGCTTATTGTTCTGAAAACTTCATTTTTTTTAAAACTAATCTAGACAAAGTTAAAAATGTTCACCTAACCCATGGTTCTTCCTTAATTTAGGAATTGTCAGTTGCCTTTTCTTGAATGATAAAAAAATCAAATTTAAACAATATTTATTTGCAAACACTTGACGAAAACAAGGATTAATATTGTTTTCATTCTTTCTAAACTTTAGAGACGCTCTTCAATATTTTAATGCTATTATTAATGATTTTTCAATTTAGAGGTTAAATCTATGTTTTTAATATTCATAAGAAGATTTCATCAGCACCATAAAAACATTTAATCTTAAATAAAACCAAAAATTCTCCAAAGTTACAATTCAATTATTAAACTTACAGTTTCTAGCTAATTAATTATATTTTCAAAAGTCATGAAAATTTTCAATTTTAAACTGTTTTTCAAATTTCTTTTCTTTTTCCATCTAATTTGATAAATAACCCCATGTGAGCTGAAACTTCAACTCTAATTAGTCTCAAGTTGAATTAATATTTTTTTTTCAATTTTCCTGACACAGCTTATCAATTCTAAACGATAATTTTCAATTTCAAAACTGCTGTTAGAAGAGAAGTTTGATAAATAATGATGGCAATGTTCCAAGACCAAAAGTAATTATCTGTATTATTATCATAGCGTCGTTTTCTTCTTGCTTTTTTGGAACGAGCACTTCGTTATGATTGAGTTTCTGAACTGAATACAATTTTGCTTGATTATTAAAGTTCAAAGCAATATGAAAAGTGAAATGGAGAGCAATTTAATTCAGCTATTAAACTGCACTTGAATGATGCATTTATTCATGGAAAATTTCGCATGAATGAGTGGAAAAATCTTTTAATTGAATGAAATTTTATGGAATGGAAAACATTTGGCGATCATTGTGACATTTGCATTTTTAAAATTAAATGGATTCCTTTATGCTGTTTGTAATGAAGGAAAGCTGTAAATTTTAATAATTCATCATGAGAAGTTTTCTTTAGTTTTTGATGAATTGCAGCATCTGGCGGTCCTGGGAAAATATTTTTCTTTTGCAATAAAATTTTTGTTGCAATGCTTTAGAATTTAACAGAATTCAATGATTCATGACAGATGTTTGGCTAAATGAGAAAGGAAGTTGTTGTTTTTTATCGCAGGAATCGCCAAAAGCTTGAGAATGCTTGACTCCTCTTAATGAATTCAATCTTATCTACATCTAATATACAAATGTTTACGAACATTCAACAATTTTCCAAAAAAAAAATCACAAAACGCATCCAACAAGAAAGTTAAAATAATGCTTAAAAAATTAATTTCCTCTAAACTTGTTCCACCTCAGGCCAAACCCTCAAAGTTAATCATCATACCAAAATACGTCAAACCATATCAATATTTTTCACAATATCAATTTCATCAAACTTTTCAAGTTCTTCAATCGATTACTCTGAAAATAGCTGGAAGGGAGTGTGCAATATAATCAAATTATTAGCATGTCTGAAAGTTTACTCGAAGTAAAAAGTTTTCAAATCAAAAAACAATTAGAGTGTCCGTTGTTTTTGTTGCCTAGATGAAATCCTTCATATTCTGATTATAAGGGGAGTAGTAAGCAATTTTTGAAGGGGATTTGAATTTTTTTGCATTCAAGGTTTCAATGGCGAAGTCTCAGTGGTAGGTTTTTAAGTGTACCCGAGACACCTTAGAATAGAATTGAATAAAATTTGAAGTACTAAAACTTGGGATGTGAATAATATTGATCTGAGGCTAGAAATGAGTGCCTCGAAAAGTCGTAACTGGGCGCTCATGAATCACGAAAGAGTTAAGGTTGACTGATTAAACCCTAACTTATGCCAATTGTTTTAAAAAAGATCAAATTTTGATAAGCTTAACTTTAAAAAAAATAATCAGACCCCTTAGCTACACCAATACTTCCCTTGAACCCTCTTGCAACATCTATCATACAATACATAATTTTTTCTGCTATTTCTGTCCTTGCCTGGTTTATTTTTAGAAGCGCAAAAAAAAATTGAAAAGTTTTCTTTTTCTACTTAAAAATTATTCAAGATATGAAAAATGTGTTTCCACCTTACTTAATTTTTTTCACGTGCAAAATGTAATCTGAATAATATATTTTGTCAACTCGATACTCTCGTGTCAAATTTCTTCTTCCTGCCTTCTTTTCCTTATTTTCCATCACACTAAAATACAGGAGGAGTGAGGCTGAAATTTATGGCATAATCTTTCGTCTTATGTACCACATTTTCTCATACATGCACGCAGAGTTGTAGAATCAGCAAGAATTTTTTTTTCAAAAATTTCAAGTATAATTTGTCAATTTACTTCAAAACGGCAGTAATAATAGTCTGAATGTAGGTTAATAATATGAATTTGTGCTAACGTGGTTTGTGGCACTCATTGATGTTGTTTTCAAATCAGATAAATTTTATGTGAATGATGGGTGTGGGAAAACAAGAAGGATGAAAAGAGTAAATGAGTTTCCAAGAAAATAAATTTGAAAAGCGGCATTGCGGAATCTTTTTTTTTGCCGTAAAGGAGCATGAATGCGCATTGAGTTGAGTAATATTTTTGTAGAAAATTCTTGGAAGGACTAGGAATTTTAAAATTTACTTTAAGCATTTGAATGAAGAGGAGTTGGCAGACACAACATCAAATAATATTTCAAAAATTAAAATCTTTAAAAATCTTAAATAAGCCATTAATTTCCCGACAAATTTTGCAAGAGTTTGAGGTTCCTACTTTCAGTAGCTAGCTGTTCTTTCTTTCATACTCAATGATGTCATTATAAATTATTGTTTCCTTTACTTATGGCATCAATCAATTTTTAATCCGTTGAAATTGTGTAAACAATAGGTTGAAGGTGGGAGGGGGGGGGGGGAGGGAGTGTTAAAATATCTTTAGTTTAGCACCATTTATTTCAAGCAAGCATTAAGAATTTTTAATTGATTATTATTATCCAAACCTCTACGAGCTGTGTTCCCCAACAAACCCTGGAACCAACTCTAAAGAACAAATAAAAAAATAAAAAGCCGAACAGGAGAGATGAGACAGAAAGGAGGAAATTTAAAACATTCCAATATATTCGACAGCTGGTCTCCAAGTTTTTTTACTCATATTTAATTCAATTGTCTTCTTTTTGTCTCCTTCCTGTTTTGGTATGTGCTCTTTTTTTTTGTCCCATCTCCATAATAAAATAAAAATCAAAATTTGATGAGCATAATCGAATGTAAATTTATTCTCCATCCAAATTCAATAGAAATTGCGAAAAATTCAAATGAAACGAAGGATAAAAATAAAAGGAATGGGAAAAAAATCTGCCAGCAAATTGCTCGACTCGATTAGATCCGAAAGGCATTGATATGCTGGCATATATCAAGGAAATTAAGAGCTTTTAAAGACTTTTTTTTCTGTTCTTGATGTGTTTGTGTATTCAACATTTTGCATATGTCTATATGTTCTATCTTTTTCTATTTATATCCAGGCTATATTCACCAGAGAGGAGGGATGAGAATGTGAAGTGCTTAAAAGACGTTGTGAATGAAAGAAAAGTGTGAAGAATAACGAAAGAAAATTAAGTGATACTTGCAATTTTTTTCTCTATCTTCATCTCTCGTTTGTTTGTTGTGTGAGATTCATTAAGAATAAAAAAGAAAGGAGCAAGGAATAAATAATAAAAATATCAACATAACATCATCTCTCTCAGTGTATCATAATAATAAGAAAGAAGTGAAAAAGGATCATAATCCATACATAATTCACAAGTGGAATGATAAAAATGATGTTGCAAAAATTTTTATAACATAAAAAAAATAATTTCAGAGAACATAAATATAAGAAGGCGGGGATATAAAGTAGAAAGAGAAAAATGAGAAAAAATGGAATTAGTGTGGAAACATAGTGTGTTCATTTATGAAATTCATAAATAGATGATTGAGTGTTTTTCTCTCTCATCCTTCGGGATTTATTGAGGAAAAACAGATTATTATAACACAAAAAAAAAGAATTATTATAAACGTGAAAGAAATAAAGAAAAAAAATTATTAAAATTATTCAGAGTGGATTAAAGAAGTGGAGAGCAACAATAGCTTTGCCATCATCAACAAAAATGTGCTTGTTGGATTTACAAAGGATTATCGTTTTATGTCTGCCAACATTATTATTTGCAGCAACTATGGAACCAGGTAAATTATTATTTTACATACTTTTAACATTTTTTTCGTTCGCAAATTTTCGGAAACAGCATGAGCCTGTCTTATTGTGGGTCATGCACGTATGGGGTTGTTCATGTATTACGTGATGTGAAAAATTGATTTTTCAAACCAGAGTTGCGATCTGTCACAAGCAATCACTTTTAACAGGCAAAAATCTGTCAACTGTGCTTGTGACAGATGACCTGCATGACAACACTGTTTTAAACAAGTCTTAAGACGTCCTTACTTGATTTTATAGAAAATGCTACTCAGATTTGCTTTCTGCTCTTTAGAACCTTCTTACATCCCCCTTTGTCACAAATTTTACTTGAAGAAACCTTCCAATTGTGTTTATCAGTTTGACTTGTTGGGATCTATCGGTTGTGACATCATAAAAGCATTGGGAAAGGGTTGGGTTTGGGTTTAAAACCTCGTTAAAATTTTTAAAATAATAGAGGTTCATTTTGGTTCCAACAAAACAAATTAACATTACTTTGAATTTCTCTTAGCTGCTTTTGTTGAAATTTTTAAAAAGAGGAGGAAGTTTGATGCTTATAAAAATTAATTTTTAATCAAATATCACGAAAAAGTACAATATTCCATTTAATGAGCCGATCTTTATAAACCTCTAATATAAATTAAATCTGAATTTAATCACTACAAAACTTCAAACAAAAACTTCATACCTCTTTAATATTTCCGACGTCATACTTGAATCAATCCCATGTCAAAATCACTCAAAAATTTAATTTTATTAAAGTACAATGTTACAAATACTCGAGAACAAAAAGAAACTTCTTCAATTCTCTTGTTTTTGGCACAAATTCAATGCGCTCATTTCAAGCATCAAACAAAAAAAAAATGAAACAAAATTTTCTTCTTCCATTTTTTCTTGATTTTTTCCCCTCATGGCCTTGGGCAACATTTGCTCTCCCTTTTTTGTACTCATGTTCCCCCATCTCCATGTTACATAGTACTCAATATTCTGCATCTCATCGTACATATGATGCTGATGCTGATGATGATGATTTGCTTTATGATTATTGAAAAAAATAGGAGAAATGAGAAAACGAATGTAAAGTGCTTAAATTTAAGGAACACATTTCACTTGAAATGGAAAAATTATGTTTTATTTTATCGTAAGTTGATTTATTTTATGGAAAATTTTGAAGAAAAAAATGTTTTGTTTTATATTATGTCGTCTTGAACGTCTGACTGATGGGAGTTTGGAGTGATTTTTTTCGATTAAAACTTTTTGTGCTAATTGATTTTTGCAGTAATAATTTTATAAGCTTTGCAAATTTTGTAGAATGTTGTGGGATGTGTTAAGCCAAATGGGTAATCTGAGTGTAGCATCAAGAAACGATTTAGTGGTTTTTCAATTGTCTGGCTAAGAAGAAAGGTCAAAGATAAGGCTGATACAAAACATAGAGTTGCTCCAAACGAATGGTAAGCTTAGGGCACTACTTGTTTAAGCCTTAGGATAGATAATTGACTATATGCTTTATTTAGATCTTGAAGGAGTTCAGCTTAAACTAAAGATTAGGATAAAATTAATTGCAAAGCCCAGGGCTACCCTAATCCATACCTCTAAAGCTTTTTTTGAGTAATAAAATTTAATGAGGGTTATAAAAGACATTCAGCTTAAAGTCTAAGACGTAGAACTGATCGTAAAGATCAAAAATGATCAAAAGCTAATTAATCAGCTTCACATTCTTCTTGAAAATGCGTCTTAAAATCCCTATAATCTCCAATCCATACCCACATACAATTCATTACTTTAAATTGTAGAAGAAAAAGTTGAAAGAAAATTTATTTCAACATTAAATTTTTTTTTCATGCTTGCACAATAAATTTCCTTTGCTTCAAAGCATTACGTATTTATGCTATATGGAAGAGATATCTCTTTTGTTTTTTTGATTCATAACATAATATTTGTTGAGAAATAAAGAAGAAAATGATTCTATTAAGGGAGATGAATATAAATGCAGAAAGGAAATTTTTCATGAACTTCTGTGTTGAAAATGGAAGAAACAAGAAATTGATGAAGTTTGTTTGCATGCATAATCTTGATGTCAGATGCGATACTCTTAAGAGGAGATACATGAGCAAAAAAAAAACTAAACTAGAACCAAGAAAAAGAAATTCATCATGGACTTTATTATTTATATGAACAAAAAAAATCTCCTTTTATTACTCATAATGGATTGCTCTAGATTTATATTTTCTTTTTATCCTTTTTATCGTCATCTTGGGAATCATTATGTGAGCGACCTACTTATTTCCCACTATTTATTTTGCTATTTGAAGCAGTAAATTATGAATTTCTTTAGAATTATTTGCTTTTAAATTTATATTTTACCTGGGATGGCATTAGGGACTTCGGGAACTGAAGTGATTTTGTGTTTTGTTGTGTGGAAAATTTCTCTAGAATTTTGCAATATTTTCATCTGAATTCAGTTCAGTCATTAAGTTGATTTAGCGGAAAATCACCTATTTTTGGTAGATGCGGAATTAAAGCCACAAGAAATTATTGAGAATTGCTACAAAAATCAAAGAATCTTCTTAATGAGTAAACACATTTTCATAAATTTTTTTAAATCACCCTTAAATATCAATTTATTGAAATATTTTCTCAGAAATTTAATTAAATTTTTTTTTTGTTCAAAAACTTTCCTTTTACCAAGAATAAAATATTAAAACACCCACTTGTGTCTATCATTAAAACATAGAGCAGCATAGACAACAAAGCATTACCAACAAAATTCCGAGACATTGATAGGCTGCCCATCTGCGCACTTTTGAGCAGGACAGTCCCGTTTTTATAAACAAAGTTCCTTAAATCTTTAATGACACAATTTTTTGAACCTATTTTTCTTGGATAGTGCTTGAAAATTCGGTCTGTCTCTGTTTTTTAGAGCTGACAAGTCTCGCCTTTTTACCAAAAATCAGCAAAAACCGATGTACAGCCTAGACATTGACAATGAAAACTCATTTATTCGTTATTTTTAGAATCTATCATGAAATATGCGTATAAATAGCTTGAGGCCATATGACGAACATTCCGTTCATAAAATATTAATTTTCATAGGCCAATTGTTTATTGTTGAAAATTTTTCGGACAATATGAGATTAGGAACAATGTAATGAAGCTGCTATAATGGGATTAGGATATTGAACGCTGTGAATATTTGATGAAATGCTGCTGGCAACAATATGCTTTAATTTTTGTGAGAAAATTGAGGAAAAATGTTTTAAAAAAATTAAAAATAAGGCTTCAATTTTAGGATATACCGCTGGACTATAGTCTTAGGATCTTACTTTAGGCAATTCAAGAAAGAAGAACTAAGATTCATTTTAGCCAAATATGTCATTTTGACGAGTAAGTTTCAATGATTTGCAAGCATAAAAGCTCACAGTCCAACAGCTTTTCCAAGTTTGTAAGCAGCAAATCTTACAAATATTTATTACTTACAAAATCCTTGTAACTGCCAAAGTGCATATGTTGATTCACATCATCCATGTGAGCGTCTATAAATGGTCTGTAAAATTTATTATTATTTTTTCTCCATGCTGCATCGTCTGCCAAAGATAAATCCACAAAAATACTGGATCAGAGATTGTTAAGTTGTAAGCTGCTCTCATCGACTGCATAAAACTCTATTTTTTTTTGCGAGCAACGAGATTTATCAGATATTCATAGAGTTGTAATCCAATGTGCCTGCCATGTCTCGTTTATGGAAAAAAATTGCATAAAAATATTTTTTATGTGCTATAAATGAAGAAGTTTTTAAAATGTTCAATGAACTTTTGATGGAACTAAAAAGAACGAGTTAAGAAAGATGAAGACGAAAATTGTTTGATAATTTGATTTGCATGTCTGTCGTCTTTAGGATGAGTTTTTAAGTATTTAAAGTTAAGACTTTATTTGATGCATACTTTATGGAATTTGATTACTTTTCATTATTTTTTTCACTAAGTTTTTACTGTGAAATGTTGAAAGACTCTTTTTAAATGGGAGCGAGTTGGATGTCTGAAGTGAATGAAGTTCTTAGTTATGATACGTATATGAATGCAGATCCAGTCAGTTTTCAGGATTTAGGTCAGTTCCACACCCCTGGTAAAGCATGGGATGTGAATTCTAATTCTGGATTTTGAGATAAATTTTTTATAGAAGATATGAAATCTGGAGAATTAATCAATATGAAGATAAATCTGTCAAAGCATGAGTATGGCATTTGCATTTGAGTAATTAAGCAACAAATCAGAAATGTGCAATTATTTCAGATATGGGTTCGATTCCTACCACAATCCGTTCTGTTCAATGTTCTCTATATTACATCAAGAAAAGATTTTTTGTCAAAAGTTCAATCAAATTAAAAATTAAAATCCACATGACATGGTGGATAAAACAACCCACAACCTTACAATTCTTTAACAAATCATCAAAGTCAAAATTTTCCTTCCACGAATTCTAAAAATCTTAGGGGTCGTTCACTTATGATGTCCGAAATTAACGGTCATTTTTCAAAAAAGAACAATGTATTTCCAGGAATTTATATTGTTCTTTTCTTGCTGACCCCCCTCCTTGGACGTCATAAGTGAACGGCCCCTTACAGTCCCCAAAAAGTACAAAATTCTATCTTCTTAGAAGCTCAAAACTTAAAATTCAACCATAGATTTCCATCTAAAGATTAAAATTTTAATATATTCAAACATACTTTATTGTTGAGGAAGGTAAAATGATTATTCCTCCTATGAAAAATCCCATTTTTTGGTAAATTGAATGTGAGACACATGCGGTAAATCTCTAGCAATTATTTTCCCATATTTTATTGTTCACGTAGCAATGGAATAAAGCTGCAAAGTTTTGTCTAATAATAAGAAGTATTTTCTTATCAACATAATGTGAATCTATCGATTCAACGTACAAATTCCTCTACCTTTATCCTATACCAACACCTACCTTACCTGTAAAATGATTTAAACTT